TCTTTAAACCTGCTGGGCTCTACACCCTGCCTGTAGCGTGAATTTGCTGAGGCTCGGGATATGGTAGGAGGCCACTAAGTAAGACCACACTTGGGCTCAGAGACCTCCAGGAAGCTGCTAGGCCTGCTCAGGCTCTAGCTAGCCCAGCTCCTCATTACACTCCTGGCCAGGGCTGAAATCCAATCGCGAGCATGTAGGATTTCAGCCTGTTGGCCTTGAGCCCTCACATCAATATTTTAAGGCTCAGAAATGAAGTAGGGGAGCCTGGTCTTGGGTGCAGCCTGGGAGAGGGTGGCAAGCCCAGCCCAGCCCAGCCCAGACTCTACTTCTTTAGCTCTCTAGGAACCCCCCCACTGCACCAAGCCTCTTGGGGATTTCTGGACTGAAGGTGCTTTTGATGAAAGGCTCCCCTGTATTCTCAGGAAGTCCTGGGTTGGTCTCCTCCATTTTGGGGGAGACAGACTCAGTAAGCCCTCCTTTTGAATAGGCTTTGTCGTTGGAGTTGGTGGCAGGGCTGTGACCCATGGGACCCTCGTCTGCCCAGTGGCCCTGAAGGGTCCCCTGCCTAGTCCCTCAGGCCAGACCAGAGGAATGAGTCAGCAGGAATTCCCAGACTGGACAGAGACCTCCCAACCCCTACCCCCCCACCTCCCCATCCCCCACCATTGCTCCTAAGGCCCATCACCCGCACCCTCTGTGTCTGCTCTCAGAATTCAGCATCAACTAGTGCTTTTGAAAAGTATTTTCTTAAGTCCCAGAAGGAAGTCTTTGTAATTGGAACCCCCTCTCCCCAGTCCCAGCACATGCCTCTTTAAGCCTTGGCCACTAGTGCCCAAATGTGGACATTTTGATCAGAGAATGTACCTTCCATCCACAAATGAATCATGTGCGGACACAGCATTGTCTTCCAGGGCTGAGTGGCCAAGTGTTATACATTATAATATTACATGTTATACATTATACATTAGGAACGCTGGCCGCAGGCAGAATGCTGGGCCACGGAATAACCACGTGGGCCCTCCGGCTTGCTGTGGGCTCCCCACGCACCCTCTCCTTCAGCCCTCACAGCACCTCTGTGCCTTGGGGGGTCACACAGCACCCTTCCTTTTCCCGTGCTCCACTTTATCATGCTTCACAGAGACGGCGTTCTGTAGCACATGGAAGATTTGTGGCGACCCTGCGTCAAGCAAGTCTACTGGTGCCATTTTTTCCAACAGCATTTGCTCCCTTCTTGTCTCTGGGGCACATTTTAGTAATTCTTGCAATTGCTCAAACTTTTTTTTTTTTATAATTATTGTATTTGTTATGGTGATCTATGATGACAACTCATTGAAAGCCCAGATGATGTTTAGCATTTATTAGCAATACAGCATTTTTAAAAAGATTTTGCTTATTTGACAGAGAGAAAGAAAACAACAGAAATTGCTGCAGAGGGAGAGGGAAGCAGGCTCCCCGCAGAGCAGGGAGCCCAATGTGGGGCTCGATCCCAGGACCCTGGGATCTTGACCCGAGTTGAAGGCGCCCAGGCGCCCCCATAAAATATTTTTTCTAAAGATTTTTTTTTTTTTAATTTTTAGGTAATCTCTATATCCCATGTGGGGCTGGAACTCATAATCCCAAGATCATGAATTGCATGCTCTACCAGCTACCCTGCAATAAAGTATTTTTAAATTAAGGTGTATATATATATGTGTGTGTGTGTGTATATATATATATATATATAAAACCCTGTGATTTTTTTTTTTAAAGATTTTATTTATTTATTTTACAGAAAGAGAGAGCACAAGCAGGCAGAGTGGCAGGCAGAGGGAGAGGGAGAAGCAGGCTCCTCACCAAGCAAGGAGCCTGATGCGGGGCTCCATCCCAGGACACTGGGATCGTGCCCTGAGCTGAAGGCAGCTGCTTAACCAACTGGGCCACCCAGGCGCCCTTTGTTTTTTTTTTTAAGACATGCTATTGAACACTTAATGAACTACAGTGTTGTGGAAACATACCTTTCTCTGCACTGGGAAACCAAAACATTTATTTGCCTGACTTTATTGTGACCTTTGCCTTAATTGTGGTGGTCTGGCACTGGACCTATGGTATCTCAGAGGTTTGCCTGACATCCCCATTTTACAGCTGAGGAAACAGGCTCAGTCCAAAGACATATGGTCAGTAAGTGCTGAGCCAGGCCTTGGGTGCAGTCGGCAAGTATCTGAGTGTCCATGGACATCAGGGCCTGCTGGTCATGGGGTAGAGAGCGATATTCGAGCCCCAGCTCTCCTGGAGTTTCCATGTGGTGAGCAGACGGACAATACACAATAAACAAACAGGGATGAAGGGAGAAGGACTGGGTGATAGTGGGGTGGACAGTGTTGCTATTCTGGATTGGAATCGGAGCCAGGCAGAGCTGTTTTCCTTGCTGTCCGGTACTGCCAATGATTGGCACATTGAAGTTACTCAATAAATATGTGGAAAATGAACCCTTCCTACCACCTTCAACCTGGCCACGTTTAACTCTTGTCTGATACACCAACATGGGGCCCAGCATCTTTTATAGCCTGGTCTGGGTGCTGGACGAACATTACTTCCACCTTTCTCCAACCACAGATGGCGAGGCAGTGCTCAGTATGATGCATGGGGCTTTTTGCTTTGGATGACTTCTTGGGAGAAGGTCTTGGGGCTGGGGTTACCAGCTCAAGGGTCATGGCCGTATTTACCACTCTGAGGTTCTCCCTGTGGACAGTGATAGGTCCCGTACTTTTCCTGAGCACCTACTGCATGCCGGACCCCATCTTCATTACACATTCTCACAGATCACTATGGAAAGTGGACTGCCCAGTAAATGGCTTCTCAACCTTTCAAAGCCTTGCTCAAACAGCCCCTGGCGAGGCTTCCCCTACTTCTATGGCAGAATTAGTCCTTTTTTGTGTAAAACCTATTATGTTAGCATCACGACCTGCCAAGCTTCTTCAGTCTCTGCCTGGTGGCCTTGCCAGAGTCGGCTCTGAGTGGCCAAGCCAAGGATGAGCTAATTAGAGCTACATTCAGGACTTAGTTTGGCTGCTGGGGAGGGAAGTGTTCTGTCCTCTGGGAAGTCATACCCTTCACACAAAGGAGTCAGGATGCCTGCCCTTGTCTCTCATCTTAGCCACGGGACCTCAGCTGCAGCAGGCAGTCTCTGCAGGAACTCAGTCTTCACATCTATAAATGGAAGCAATAATATATAAAACTTCTCCAACACCTTTAATAAGTCACCCTTTTCCTCCCGCAAGGAACTGCCATCCCATAAAGGCGTCTGTGGGTTCTAACAGCCCAAACCAGCAGATGCCAGAGTTATTTCAAACAACAGGGACCCAACTCTTATTTCTAGTGCCTTTTTCTCCTTGCCAGGTTTCTGGCATTCCCGAGATTACTAGGCGGCTGCCAGGGGATAGTGGGACAAAAGGTCTGTCACGAACATGGGCAGGCCATGAACATGGCCCCACCTCCTAACCAGGGTTATTTTTAGGCAAAGTCCTTGACTAGCTTATCTAAATGGCCCGACTGGAGACCTTGACTTTTTAGCTCTTCAAACATCCAATGGGACTCCCACCCTGCCTTCCTCCTAAGGCCTGGCTACTCCAGTACAGGCCTCCCCCTCCCCCCACATCTGTCTTGTCAAAAGCCCCCTTTCATGATAACGCTTTTGTCCAATAAGCCCAATTTTTTTTTTCTCGAAGCAAGTTCAGCCAAGTACACACTGTCTAAAAAGATTTTTGCTGTGGGCAGATGGAAATCCCGCAGAAGCCATTTTCTGTAATCCAGGCTCTTAATTTCCTAAGCAGCCTGGGAAACCTCTTGTCCCAGCTCATGTCCCATAAAATAGGATCTGTGATTTTTATACTCATCTGTAACCCACTTCCAGAAAGGATCGGGACGGCGGGGTCAAAGAGGAGTGAGGGACACCGGACTGTGTGGCCAATGGGAGCAGGGCGGTCGTCCCCCTCGGTGGGTAAAGGTGCGTTAGTCACGGTCACGGGGCTGCCTCCTGCGCGGGGGCGGGTGGGGCGCGCCCACAGAGCCAGCAGCCGCATGTCATTCACCTTTGGTCAGGGTTCCGCGCGGCGGTGGCGGCCCCGCGGGCCGGGAGCCTCTGGGCCCCGGCGTCCTCAGCACCAAGGACAGGGAAACTGAGGCCGCCGGCGGCCTCAGAGGGCGGGGTCACCTGTGCGGCCTCGAACCAGTCGCCTCCGCCCTCCCTCGGGCCCAGGTTTCCGACCCTGCGATCGTAACTCCTCCGGCTCTGGGATGGACGGAGCGTGGCCGCGCCTCCCGAGCAGCTCAGCCGCCGCGGGGAAATGTTACCAAAATACAGCCCCGGAGCTGCAGAAGGAGGTGCCTCGCCCCAAGCTCGTGCGGAAAGAGAAGCCAGCTTCCAGGCACCAGCTTCCTGTCTGCCCCGTGCCAGGCCCCGGCCTCTGATGTCCTAGGGCCCCCGGGGGGTCCAAGCAAGCTTTCGGCTGGCAAAGCCAAGCCCTAGATGCTCGAGGCTCGGGGGCCGGGCCCACTCGGCCTGCGCAACGCTCTAGAGCTGCCCCGCGCCTCCCTCGCTGCCTTCCAACCCCGCGACCCCCGGCTCCGGCCCGACGCCCCGCCCCCCGCGCCGGCCCCGCCCCGCCCCGGCCCCGCCCCCCGCGCCGTCAGCGCCCGGGGCGGGGGGCGGTGCCGCAGCCAATAGGAAGGTGGCGTGGCGAGGGCGGTGGCGGTTGTGATGCGCCGGGCCGGCGGGCGGCAGCCAATCCGCGGCGAGCTCGAGGGCGGGCTGTGACGCGAGCGGCGCTCCTCGTGCGGCGGCGGTATAGGAGCGAGCGCCGCGGGGAGCAGGACCAGCCGAGCGCCGCAGCCGCCGCCGCTGCCGCCGCTGCCCGCCGCCCGCTCCCTCCGCGCCGCCGCCCCGCGTCCGCCCGGCGCGCCCCCAACCGCCGCGCCCGCGCCCGGCCGGCCCGTCCGCGAGCCGCCGAGCAGCCTCCGCGCCCGGCCGGACCCTGAGCCTCGCTCTCTCGCGCTGCGGCCGCCCGCGCCTCCTCGGCCGCCTGCCCGGCATGAAGACCAAGTTCTGCAACGGGGGCGAGGCGGAGCCCTCGCCGCTCGGGCTGCTGCTGAGCTGCGGCGGCGGCAGCACGGCCCCGGCGCCCAGCGTGGGGCAGCAGCGCGACGCCGCCAGCGACCTCGAGCCCAAGCAGCTGGGCGGCCCGCAGCCGCCGCTCGCGCTGCCGCCGCCGCCGCCGCCGCCGCTGCCGCTGCCCCCGCCGCCGCCGGCCGACGAGCAGCCCGAACCTCGGACGCGGCGCCGGGCCTATCTGTGGTGCAAGGAGTTCCTGCCCGGGGCCTGGCGCGGCCTTCGCGAGGACCAGTTCCACATCAGTGTCATCAGGTCGGTGGCGGCGCCGCGCGGGGGTGGGCGCGGGGAGCCGCTACCCAGTCAGATGACGCTGGCCGGGCGGGGGCGGGGCGGGGGCGGGGCCTGCGGGCCGTGCTGGGGGGCTGGAGACCCCCTCCCGCCCCGCGTGCGATCCCCGCGGATTCCGCGACAGGGGCCCGCGGCCTCCCAGACCTTCCAGAAGGCGCTGCGGGACAGAAGAGCGGCTGCGGTGGAAAACGGGTCTCCTGCGGGCAGAACAATGCCGTGGACTCCCCGAGTGCGTTTTGTCCAGACGCTTCAGAATTTGGGATGTCCCTTCGCGGTTTGAGGGCCTTCGTTGCGGAGGGCTGTCGTGATTGGCTTCACAAAGAGAGTCACCTCGTAACTTTGCTTCTCGCTCCTGGAGTCCGTGGTTTGCTTTTCTCCCCGCTCTGAAAGAGTCGTTTGTTCGTGGCCGGGGGTGACATTTGCTCATCCCAGCCAGCTCTGTCCAGCCCTAGGGCTGTGTTAGGAGTTGTGGCTCCAAAAGTTAGCACCGGGGGAGAAAGATTTTCCCCCTCTTTTCTTCCTTTCCTTTTTTTTTTTTTTTTTAAGCTAAAAATATTTAGTCAAATTTGAAAGACAAGAAATGGATGTGTGCACATCTTCAGACTGAGCAGGAAAAGACTCCCGTGGTTTCTGTTGCCGCTCTGCGCCCCGAGATAACCATTTCACGGTGTGTGTGTGTGTCCTTCCATTTAGAACTTTAGAAATGCTGTTCTTTCTCTGCTGCTTTTCTTTTAACTGTTGGCCCGGTGGAGCGTCGCGTTAGACACTGACTGGGTGCCACTGATAATCCCCAAATCCAGCTGGGGTCATTCGATTCCTCTTCCGTGCCCAGTGTCCCAGCAGAGCTGCAGATTCGGCAGAATAAGGGAGCCTCACTTCCTTGCTGTGCCGCCGGCCCCTCGTGCAGATTTGCCATGAACAGTGAGAGTCAGAAGGTAGGGATCAGAAACAGGGGTGTTCAGGTAATCTCGCAGCTGCCTGATGATTTTTTTTTTTTTTTTCATGAAACTCTCCAAAACAATCACGTTTAGTTAGGCCTGAAGATTCTCAGTGAAAAGAACAGATGGAGCCCATCCTAGGTGGTACCACGCGTCTGTAAAATGAAAAACCTGGAGGGGCTGGAGGTCAGTGGCTGTTTGCTGACCTAGGAGGTCTCTGGTACTCCCCTCCCCCCCCAAACCCAGTGCTCTTGCCTGTTGCCTGTGAAGGTGTTTGGACACCCTGGGATCTGGCCTTCAGACATTTTTCTTTGGTCCCTTTTGGGAGAGTGTCACTGGTCAGTTAAACCTTTGTGTTTTGTGCAAAACTGTCACTGTAAGAGCGTCGAAGATGTGTTTTGTTTCTTTTCTCTAAGAATTAGTAGTCTTAGAAATGGTCTTAGAAGCTTTCCTTTTTGGTTTGGAGGACCCTTTAAAATGACTCATGGTAAACATTGCCTCTTAGTTCTGTTCTCTGGAATAAAGTGTGGTTATGGGATCCATTTATTAGGGAGAAAAGAGGTGATTTAGGTCACAGGAAGGGGTGACACCTAGCTTTTAAAAAGCAAAAGAGGCAGTTCAGAATGGGGAAAAGGGCTCCCCTTGGCTGACATCTAGTGACCCTCCACAGGCAGTTGCCTTTCCTGGGACTCCGGCTATTAGGTGTGACTGACCTTCACGATCTCTCAGCATTCGCCGAATGGGTGACCCCGTCGGTGTGTCAGACGTCACTGCCTCAACTCAGTCCATCGAGTCTGTCTCATGTTTCACCCTTTTGCTCCTTCCCACCCTGGTATATGCTTTTGCTGCTTTCCGTCTTTGAGTTGGTAACAGCAGCAGGCCAGAGCCCCAGGACCGCTTGCTCACACCCCGCCCCCCGACACCCCTCCTCTGCCTGCAGTGGCAGTTGAGGCCTGGTGAGCGGCTTTTGCCCCCACACCTGCTGTCTCTTCCCGGTGCTGATTGTGAGGCCGGAGCCCAGGTCCGCGTCCTTGCTTAGACCCTGTCACGGGAGCCGTGGATGTCCTTGCGCTCTGGGTTCCCTCCTCTGAATTGTTCCTTGTCCTGTTGTCAGGTATCCTCAAATGTTGTTACTCTTTATTTTAAAGTTCACGTGGCTTCCTGTAACTGGAGAATAAAATCCAGACTTGTTTGACTGCTTTACACTTGGGCCCCACCTCCCTTTCTAGAGTGGTTCCTTTTTGTTGCTGTTGTTTAAAAATGCCCCCCCCCCTTTACCAGCAGTGAGGAGTGGTGAGCTCCTTACACTGGATCCTGTATTTCCTGAGTGAGCTTTGTGCTTTCAGCCTCTAGGCCTGTCTGTGCTCTTATGCTCTGCTTGGCAGCCTGGTGTCTGCTTTTAAACTTCCTCCTTTAGGGGCGCCTGGGTGGCTCAGTGGGTTAAAACCTCTGCTTTTGGCTCAGGTCATGATCTCGGGGTCTTGGGATCGAGCCCCGCATCGGGCTCTCTGCTCAGCAGGGAGCCTGCTCCCCTGCCCCCCGCCCTGCCTGCCTCTCTGCCTACTTGTGATCTCTCTTTCTGTCAAATAAATAGATAAAATCTTTAAAAAAAAACAAAAATTGACTCTTCACTATTCTCTCACTATGATGACAGGTCTTTTAAAGATTTTATTTATTTATTTATTTATTTATTTGACAGGCAGAGATCACAAGTAGGCAGAGAGGCAGGCAGAGAGAGAGGAGGAAGCAGGCTCCCCGCTGAGCAGAGAGCCTGATGGGCTGGATCCCAGGACCTTGAGATCATGACCTGGGCGGAAGGCAGAGGCTTAGCCCTCTGAGCCACCCAGGTGCCCCATGACAGGTCTTTCTAATCAGACTATTGTTTGCCTGAGTCTCTCTAATCAGGGGTGGTATAGGGAAAGATTAGAATTATCATTACATTGGCGCGCCTGGGTGGCTCCTCGGTTAAGTGCCTAGCTCTTGATTTTGGCTCAGGTGGTGATCTCAGGGTCGTGAGATTGAGCCCTGCTTGGGGCTCTGCACTGGGTATGGACTCTGCCCAAGATTCCCCCCTCCCCCCACACTTACTGTCTCTCTCTCTCTCTCTCTCTCAAAAAAAAAAAAAAAGAAAGAAAGAAAGAAAAATTACTGCCCACACCCAGCCATCACAGCTGATGAGCAGGCCCATCAAATCAAGGGTTTGTTATTATCCCTCTCGTTGCCGGTTGGTAAGTCACAATCAGCTGTGACTTGAAATTGCAGATCTTTGCAAGATTTCATGAAATTTGATGGAAGAAATGTTTGAGAGCTTTTAAGTTTCACACAAATCTGTTGACACGTTATATCCCACGGACCCACTAATAGTTGAAAATTGATGGGGAAGAGGATACCCTGAACTCTCCCAAGTAGAATCATTTAGACATAAAAAACCAAGAGAAGTCATTGAAAAGACTGGCCAAGTCCTCAGGTATATTTGCACAGTGATGCAATAAAAGTCAAATAGGGAGTAAGTTGTGGTTTATGGTGTCATCACTAAGTTTTTTGATAAAATTATGCCAAAATTCCCTACTTAGTTTCCCTTTTATGTACACAGTTGAATTTTAACCTAAATTCTGTAGTATATGACTTCCAGTTTCATTTTTCAAAATAAATAAAGTTTCATTTACATTTTGTTTCTACTATTTGCTGTGAAAATTTGGTCCCTTAAGTAGCTTTACTTTTTTTCTTTAAGATTTTATTTATTTATTTGAGAGAAAGAGATAATTAGAGAGAACACAAGGAGCACCGAGAGGGAGATGCAGGCTCCCCGCTGAGGCAGGAGCCTGATGTGGGCTTAGTCCCAGGACCCTGGGATCATGACCTGAGCTGAAGGCAGGTGCTTAACTACTTAACTGACTGAGCTACCCAGGTGCCCTGCTAACTTTTAAAAATATTTTATTTATTTATTTATTTATTTGAGAGAAGGAGTGAGAGCACTAATGGTGGGGAGGCGCAGAGGGAGAGGGAGAACCAGACTGTCTACAGAGCAGGGAGCCCAGTGAGCACCCGGCTCGATCCCAGGACCCTGGGATCATGACCTGAGCAGAAAGCAGATGCTTAACTGACTAAGCCACCTGGGTGCCCCATGTGGCCTTATTTTTTTTTTTTTTTAAGATTTTAATTATTTTTTTTGATAGAGAGGGAGATCACAAGTAGGCAGAGAGGCAGGCAGAGAGGCAGGCAGAGAGAGAGAGGGAAGCAGGCTCCCTGCTGAGCAGAGAGCCTGATGCGGGGCTGGATCCTAGGACCCTGGGACCATGACCTGAGCTGAAGGCAGAGGCTTGACCCACTGAGCCACCTGGGTGCCCCATGGCCTTACTTAAAAAAAAAAAAAAATTAATAAACTTGGGGCCCCTGGCTGGCTCAGTTGGTGGAGCGTGTGACTCGAGCTCAGGGTCTCAGGGTCATGAATTTGAGCCCCACATTGGTCATAGAGCTTACTTAGAAAAAATTAATAAACTTGGGGTGCCTGGCTGGCTCAGTGGGTTAAGCCTCTGCCTTCGGCTCAAGTCATGATCCCAGGGTGCTGGGATTGAGTCCCGCATCGGGCTCTCTGCTCAGTGGGGAGCCTGCTTCCTCCTCTGTCTCTGCCTGCCTCTCTGCCTACTTGTGATCTCTCTCTCTATCCAATAAATAAATAAAATCTTTTAAAAAAATGTTTAAAAAATAAAAAATAAATTAAAAATTAATAAACTTAATTTTTTTAGAGCAGTTTTAGGTTCATAGCCAAATTGACCAGAAAGTACAGCGTTCCCATATACCTCCCCCCACCCCCAGCACACACACACACACACACGCACACACACACATACCAGAGTTGTACATTGGTTACAGTTGATGACCTACACTGATATCATTATCACTCAGAAGTCCTTAATTTGCACTAAGGTTCACTGTCAGTGTTGTACATTGAGTGGGTTTGGAAAAACGTATAGCACAAATCTACTATTAAAGCACCCTGCAGAGTAGCCTCACTGCCCTAAAGGT